TCAAACACGTGTGATATTTTCCTACACGCAAGAAATCGCTGTGTTTGCACGCGCACACGGTGTGTTTTGTGCTGCGCCATCAGCCACGATGGCGCAGCACAAAACACACCGTGTGCGGCAGGCTTAGCGTATAAAATGACTTACTCTCACACAGCCATCTCCAAGCGAAATCGTATTTTGTCCCGCCGCTCTGCCGACCTCAGCTGAGCAGCTGAAACAAAAAAGAACAATAGCATCCGACCTCGATGTGCCATCATATATCGGGCCGTGTTTGGTGCATTCATGTGGAGATAAGAGATACAACGTCAACAATAAGACCATAGATATACACAACACATCAAGAGCTAATAACCTAAAGCTTAATTACCTTAAGGCTATAATAGGTATTATTAGCTAATTGAACACATGTTGTGTTGTGTATATCTATGATAAGACGTATTATGTCTTCCTGTTTTAATATTGTCATACGTACATGCCCTTCGTCTGTGCAACTAAAACAAAGATAATAGTGTTATCCTAATTCAGTCGGGACGTGTCATGTATTTCATCACATTGCATGTGCTGCATGCTTATTGTCTGTTTTGTTTAGAACGTAGAACGACCTTCGTGGCGCAGCGCGGCGAGATCGTATCTTTAGGCCTACTGTCTGCACTGAATGCACGCGAGGATGACCTTCGACAGGCGACCGGTTTGCCCTTACCGCGTTCTAACTAAGCAGTTCCAATTAAGCTTATCTAAGCTAACTGATTAAGTGATAGCCCTACCGGTCCTCTGGTGCTTGAGATTATGTTGCTGAAAATGTAATGTTACCAAAAAAACGTGTTGTCTATGATAGATTAATCTTGCCTAATATAATGTAATGTATTACAGCGCAAAACGCACAGACAGTAGGCCTATATAGAAGCATAGCGCATTCTGGAACGCGTATATGCGCGCTGAGCAATATAATACCTACATCCTGCTGATGGATTTCTTTTACTTACATAAATATGGTATAAAACATATTACTGACCAATGACCGGGCAGCTATACCAGTAGGCTAGAGTAGCAAAAGAATTCCACAGCGCGCGCAAGATAACTATACAGGCTGCGATTTCTATTCTGTGCGTTTTGCGCTATAGTGAGTGAGTGACATATATAAAATTTCATTATTGTATACAATATTTTCGTTTCCATAATATTCGGTTCTAACTAACTAGTTTTAGACCCTTTTGCATTAGTCGACCATGGTCGAAATTATATAATATATTATTTATTAT